TAGATATAATGTCACAAAACCTCTTGAGAATAAAACTCAATAGTATAAACTCTTGAAAAGCTTGCATTCTGGCAACATGTTGATTCTGATAACAACTTATCTGATTATGAAGTGACCTTTCAAGATGATTTCACAGATATCGATAGTTCTTCTAATACCGAGAAATCTTGACTTCTGATTCTGATGAAGAGATAAACTGTTATACTTGACAAAAATGGGATTCTCAAAGGCTGAAACTTCAATAGCCATGTAGAGATGTGTGGTCCAAATTCATCAATTGCAGAATTTGCAAATTTTATATGTGCTGCTTAAATGACTAAGGCTGCTGATGTACTTCTTCTAGTAAAAGATAGGAAGTCATTATGCAATGATCCCAATTATAAGCAAAGGCAAAAACTTGGGCTATGATTTTTGGGAAAGGAATAAGCAAAAGAAGCTTGAAAAGAAACTTCATAATAAAGACGATCATGCAGTTCATCTTTTAATTCCAACGATTGGTTCTGTCCAACCAGATTAGATAACTCAAAGAACACTTCCAGAAGATGCTATTGAGCAAATTTATCTTCCAAATTCAATGATTGGTTCTGCCAAATCAGATCAGATAACTCAAAGAACTCTTCGAGAAGATGCTATTGAGCAAATTCATCTTCCAAATTCAATGATTGGTTCTGCCAAATCAGATCAGATAACTCAAAGAACTCTTCGAGAAGATGCTATTGAGCAAATTCATCTTCCAAATTCAATGATTGGTTCTGCCAAATCAGATCAGATAACTCAAAGAACACTTCCAGAAGATACTATTCAGCAAATTCATCTTCCAAATTCAATGATTGGTTCTGCCAAATCAGATCAGATAACTCAAAGAACACTTCCAGAAGATGCTATTGAGCAAATTCATCTTCCAAATTCAATGATTGGTTCTGCCAAATCAGATCAGATAACTCAAAGAACACTTCCAGAAGATGCTATTGAGCAAATTCATCTTCCAAATTCAATGATTGGTTCTGCCAAATCAGATCAGATAACTCAAAGAACACTTCCAGAAGATGCTATTGAGCAAATTCATCTTCCAAATTCAATGATTGGACTAAGATATCACAACACTTATTTGATGTAGAGCCAGAATTTGTAGATTCGAAGTATTTCCATGCTATTACACTGAAAAGGGCTATATTCATAATTCTGCCAATTAAGAATATATTTTTTCTTATTCTGCTTCCTCCATGTGCTGATGCTTTTCCATTGACAAAGAAATGATGGCTTTCATGGAATCCAAGAACAAAGTTGAACTGTTTATAAACATGTACAGGAAGTGCCAAATTGACAGAAAGGATCTGTAAGGCTTTTGAAGCTTATGACAATGAGCCACCTTCGAGTGTCCAGAAGTATGTTCTTGATGAGTGCTAAAAATGGAATCTAGTATGGGTTGGAAGGAATAAAGTTACTCCACTTGAACCTGATGAGGTGGAAATGCTTCTAGGTTTCCTTAAAAACCATATACAAGGATCTGTATAGAAACATGTTTCCTAGTGATATCAATGTCTTGTTTCTTTTTGCTGGAATCAGTACTGCAAAGATCATCTTCTACTGTTTTAGTATATCTTTGAAAACAGATGTGCAAGAATTGAATGGTGATCGGTTGGAGCAATTGATGAGTAGATTTGGCGGATTCGACCTTGTTGTCGGTAGCATCACTTGTAACAATCTTGATGTTCATGGCTTTAAGCTAGTGATGATTTGCCTACTTTGTATTCCATGTATTTAAAAGTATTAACATAAAGTGATATTCAGAAATCTTTAAATTATTTCAAAATTATGTTAATTCAATAGAAAAGAATAAATTGAATTTCCAAAATAAATTGAATCTCAAATAAATTGAACTTGAAATAGATATAATTGTATTCAAAGTTATGACAAGCATAAGAATAAAAATTCAAATGTCTCAACAAATTATAAGCATAAGTATTTCTAAATTAATCAAGTTGACACAATTTAGAGTAATGATGTAAGCTTTTGTCTGGAAGATCTCAAACGTTGTCAAAATGCTTGTAGATGTGAAGTTTCTCCCAAACTGTCAAAATCTTAAGAGGGTTCAATTGCCAGATGCCTAATATCAACCTGCATTTGAGCCGCCTTTTCAGGTTTTCAACTCAAATCCTTCCTTTGGTTACAAGATGCCCTTTGCGGGTTTTCACCTTGACCCCCTTTCTTTTTCTTCTCTTTTTTTTTCATTTTCTATTATTATTTTTTTTCTATTCTCTTCAAGCATAATATTTCTTGACAGAATCCGAGTTTATTGGATTTTTCAGAATTTTTCCATCCATTTCTGCCAAGATCAACGCTCCTCCGGAAAAGGCCTTTTTCACAACGTATGGTCCTTCCCAATTAGGCATCCATTTCCCACGGAAATCTTTATGTATAGGCAAGATCTTTTTTAGTACTAGATCACCTTCTTGGAATTCTCTTGGATGTACTTTCTTATCATGAGACTTCATCATCCGTTTTTGATACATCTGTCCATGGCAAATAGCTTTCAATCTTTTCTCTTCAATAAGGTTCAATTGATCAAATCTAGCTTGGATCCATTCAGATTCATCCAATTTTATTTCTCTCAATATTCGGAGCGATGGAATCTCAACTTCAATTGGTAAGACTGCTTCCATCCCGTAGACTAAAGAAAAAGGCGTTGCCCCAGTAGATGTTCGAACAGTAGTTCGGTATGCATATAGAGCAAAAGGTAACTTCTCGTGCCAATCTTTGTAAGTTTCAGTAGTCTTTGTAATGATTCTCTTGATGTTCTTATTTGCTGCTTCAACTGCCCCATTCATCTTTGGACGATATGCCACTGAATTTGCATGTTTGATCTTAAACTGTGCACAAAGTTCGGTCATCATTTTGTTGTTCAGGTTCAGAGCATTATCTGTAATGATCCTTTCTGGTAGGCCATACCGACAAACTATCTCTTTCTTTATGAATTTGCAGACTGTGGACCTCTTAATATTAGTGTATGAAGCAGCTTCAACCCATTTGGTAAAATAATCAATTGCCACAAGGATGAAACAATGTCCATTCGATGCCTTTGGTGTGATTGCTCCAATGACATCTATTCCCCACATAGAAAATGGCCAGGGTGATGTCATTACATGTAAAGGAGATGGGGGTACATGAATCTTGTCTGCATATATCTGGCATTTATGACATTTCCTTGCATAATCTATGCAATCTGTGTACATAGTAGCCCAATAGTATCCATATCTCATTATTTTTCTGGCCATGGAAAGACCATTTGCATGTGTTCCACATATTCCACTGTGTACTTCTTCAATGACATTTCGAGCTTCACTGGTATTTAAACATCTCAACAGCATTTGATCACTGCTTCTTCTATACATAATCTCTCCATCAAGAAAATATCCAGCAGCCATTCTTCTCAAGGTTCTCTTTTATCAATTTCTGTTGCATTTGGTGGATAACTTTGATTTTTGATATATTGCAGGATATCATGATACCATGGTTTACCATCTACCTCTTCTTCCACACTATAACAATGTGCAGGAATTTCATACACTTGCATTTTGATTGGCATCATATCAACTTTCTTATTTGCCTGAAACATAGCAGCTAATGTAGCCAAAGCATCTGCTATTTGATTTTCTTCTCGAGGGAGATAATTGAATGTAACCCTCTCAAATTCTTTCACTAATTCGAGTATAAAATTTCGATATTCTAACAAATTTGGGATCTTTTGTTTCCCATTCTCCTCGCAATTGATACACCACTAACGATGAATCTCCATATATTTTGAGACATTTGATTTTTCTTTCTATAGCTGCTTTCAATCCCATGACACAAGCTTCATATTCTGCCATGTTATTGGTGCAAAAGAACTCCAGTCTACTTGTAAAGGGATAATAAACATTTTCTGGAGAAATTAACACTGCCCCGATTCCTCGTCCCAAAGCATTAGATGCTCCGTCAAAGTAAAGCTTCCAACATGCAAATTCATCATTTGTTTTGACTTCTTCATTCATGGATATGCATAACAAATCTTCATCAGGAAAATTGAAGTTCAAAGGCTGATAATCATTTGATACACGACTGGCCAGGAAATCAGCTATGACACTTCCTTTTATCGCTTTTTGGTTGACATATACAATATCAAACTCAGATAATAACATCTGCCATCTAGCCATTCTGCCTGTCAAAGCTGGTGATTCCATTAAGAATTTCAAAGGATCAAGTTTTGATATCAACCAAGTAGTATGGTATAACATATATTGTCTGAGTCTTCGAGTAGTCCACACCAAACACCACAACATAATTTTTGTATTGGTGGATATCGAACTTCACAATCAGTAAATTTCTTGCTCAGATAATAAATAGCTTTTTCTTTTCTTCCAGATTCATCATGCTGTCCTAGTACACATCCCATCGAATTTTCGAAGACCGTTAAGTAGAGAATTAATGGTCTATCAGGCATTGGTGATACTAAAATGGGGGCATTGGATAAATATTTCTTAATAATATCCAAAGTTTCTTGACATTCTTCATTCCAGACTTCAGGATTGTTCTTTCGAAGTAATTTGAACACTAGATCACATTTGTCAGTCAATTGAGAAATGAACCGAGATATATAATTTAATCTCCCCAAAAAGCCTCGAACTTCTTTTTTTGTGTTGGGTGGTGGAAGATCTTGAATTGCTTTTACTTTATCTGGATCAATCTCAATTCCTTTTTTGCTGACTACAAATCCCAAAAGTTTCCCAGAAGTTACCCCAAAAGTGCATTTAGCAGGGTTAAGCTTTAATTGATACTTCCTCAATCTCTGGAAAAGCTTCCTCAGATTTTGAATATGTTCTTCTTCCGTTCTGGATTTGGCAATCATGTCATCTACATATACTTCCATCTCTTTGTGCATCATGTCATGAAACAAAGTTACCATGGCTCTTTGATATGTTGCCCCTGCATTTTTCAATCCAAATGGCATCACTTTATAACAGAATGTGCCCCACATGGTTATAAATGTCGTCTTTTCCATGTCTTCAGGATTCATTTTTATCTGATTATATCCTGAAAAGCCATCCATAAATGAAAACCATGCATGCCCTGCAGTATTGTCCACCAATGTGTCTATGTGGGGTAATGGAAAACTATCTTTCGGACTAGCTTTGTTGAGATCTCTGTAATCCACGCACATTCGAACTTTTCCATTTTTCTTTGGTACGGGAACAATGTTGGCTACCCATTCTGGGTATTTAGATGCCTGCAGGAAACCTGCATTGATCTGTTTCATTACTTCTTCCTTGATTTACAACAACATTTCTGGCCTCATTCTTCTGAGCTTTTGTTGGATTGGTTTATATTATGGATTGATTGGAAGCTTATGTATCACTATATCTGTGCTCAAACCAGGCATATCTTGATAAGACCATGCAAAGATATCTTTGAACTCTTGAAGGAGATTTATCAATCCTTGTTTTATCTGGACTGTCAGAGTGGTACCAATTTTCACCTCTTTTATTTTTTCATCTGTTCCCAAATTCACAGTCTCAACCTCTTCCTTGTGTGGTAGAATTTGTTTGTCTTCCTTTTTTACCAATCTTAATAGTTCAGTAGGAACATCACATTCCAGTTCATCTTCACAACCATTGATTTCTTCCAGACATATAGGCTGCTCTAAATTTATCACTGGATTAAATCTAGGAATAAACATGCTATTAACACGGTGACACCTGCAAATTTAAGTCGGAACATTTCCGAAAGAATATAGTAAATTTATGAAAATAAATAAATGTAAAAATGTAAGAAAATGTAAAGAATGATTGCCATCTGAAAATTTTAAAGAAAATTTCTTATATTTAACATAATTTATTTTACAAGATAACAAAAAGTTTTCATATTTTTGAGCTAAACATAAAGATTAGTTCTGAATATTACTCTGCATTAATATTAAAAACTATAGGAAGATCTTCAGTGGTCCAATTGGTGAGTGTTTCTCCAGGAAGACATGGTCGAATCCTATCCAAGTACTTGCCAATCTTGTTGTCATTCATGATCATGTTGATAAATAATCCATTCATAGCTTCTTCAATTATGTCTTGATCTTTCGTCAACTTTTCTTCTTTAAAGGCTTCAACAAGCTGCTGTTCCACATTAATTGTTCCCCCTGATCTGAATATGGTCTTCAACTGTGGGAAAGACATGTGTTTCCAAAGGATTTCTCCCCCTTTCAATTTTGCCTTTCTGTCTTCACATCTTCTTTTCATCTCTTTGTTCTTTTGCTGAAGATTGGGCTTAAATCCCAGCCTAAAACGGTCTTTTTTCATCTTTATACTGATAGGAACTGAAATCCCTTGAAGATTCTTTCCTAGACCTCTCCCAGCTTTAGCTCCGATGCCTAAAGTTTGTTGTACCGTCATCTTGGTGCAATCAGACAATTTGGGATATGGAATTTTGCTTCCTTCCGCAATAAAGGTTGCATTTACAAATTCAAGAGCTCGAAAAGAGCATTCAAGAGCCTCATCATTGGTGTCGATATATGGAACATCGCTTGTTACAGACGCAATGATTTCTTCTTCAGCACTGACGCATATTAGTTGTCCATCAACAACAAATTTCAATTTCTGATGTAATGAAGAAGGAACGGCTCCTGCTGAATGAATCCATGGCCTCCCTAATAGACAATTATATGTGGGGTGGATGTCCATAACCACAAAGTCAATATTGTACACGACTGGGCCAATTAACAACGGTATTTCCATTTTCCCAAGCACTTCTTTTGAGTACCATCAAATGCTCGTACCACATTCTGATAATTCTTCATGTGTGATTGATCCAGAGGCATTCTTTGAAGTGTAACTAGGGGCATCAAGTTGAGAGCGGATCCATTGTCAATCAATACTCCTGGCAACACATGACCATGACAATGTGTCGTGATGTTCAAAGCTTTTACTGTCCCCATTCCGCCCTATGGTATTTCATCATCTGTGAACGTTATGTAATTGTCAGCGGCTATATGTCCCACAATTCTGTCAAGTTTATTGAGGGATATATCTTCGGGGATAAATGTTTGATTGAGGATTTTTATCAAAGCATTCCTATGCGCTTCTGAATTCATCAAAAGATCAAGAATAGAAATTCTCGCCTGTTGTTTGTGTAGTTGTTCAACCACACTATACTCACTATGTTTCAGGAATTTCAAAAATTCTTGAGCTTGCTTTTCTGTCACAGGTTCATTGAATGCTGGAAGGGATTCATCCTCAAATACCTTCTGAGGTATTGCCATGGCTTTTCCTTTTGCTTTCACTTGTTCTGAAGCATTGGATGTTTCGGGAGAGTAACATCTCCCACTTCTCGTAAAGAAACCGACTTCGCTCACTGCTTCGGACGTTGATGTTGTACTCAGACTTTGTATTTTCTCTTCTGTTTTATCTAGAGAAACAGATCCTCCTACCATTGAAACATTGGTAGTATAATTCCAAGGTACCCTGCGGGTATCTTTGTATGGAAATGGTAGAGGAGTGGTAATAACTACTTTTGGCCTTATTGGTGCCGGAATCACCGTGGATGATTTCACATTAATGATCACAGGATCATTTATTCTTTGATTTGGTTTAGAATCCTCTGATGAGCAAACATCATCTTCTTTTTTCCCGGGTTCTTCTTCAAAGAATTCTATTTCTCTGTTGTTCATCAATTTTTGCACCAAGTTTCTAAACTCAGGACATAGTTGAATTTTATGCCCTTTCTCCTGATGATATTCACAATAATTCTTGCCTTCATTCTGCTTTGGCCTGAATTGTTGTGGAATTATACCGGCTAAAGAAAGCTGTCTGAATATCCAAACAAATGGAGATTTAATTTCAGAAATGTCAGTTTTTTGCTTTCTTTCTGTTCTCTTCCTGAATTGCATTCACGTTTTTATCTCCATGATTTGGCAATGGATGACTTGATGCGGATGGTGTATTGAATTCCAACTTCCCAGTGTTGATCAAATTTTGAACCACCCTTTTGAATGCTAGACAGTTTTCAATAGAATGTCCTGTAATTCCTTCATGGTAAACACAGTGTGCCTTTGTATCATACCAAGGAGGGAATGGTGGTTGCATGGGAACCAAAGGATAGGGCCTTATAACATCTGCTTTTAACAGCGAATCATAGATCTCTGCATATGGTACTGGTAAAGGTGTAAAAGATAACCTTTCATTTTTCCTTTCGAGATCCTCTGGAATCTGCTCGATTAGTGTTTGTTTCCTCTTTCTTAACCCTTGGTTGGGTTATTGTAACACTTTTCGATGAATCCTTGCTGTAAGAATTTGCATTGTTGACTTCATTCTCCTTTTTCCGGTACGTAGGTCTTTTGGAACTAGACCCATCATTTGATTCAATCTTGCCACTTTTCAAGACATTTTCAATTAATTCTCCAGAAATGACCAAATCTGCAAAATTTCTGGTTGCATTCCCCATTAGATGGTTTAAATAAGGAGCCTTCAATGTATGGACAAACATCAATGTGGCCTCTTTTTCTGACAAAGGTGGTTGAACTTGGGCCGCAGTGTCACGCCATCTCTGGGCATACTGTCTGAATGTTTCATTATTCTTTTTCTCCAAGTTTTGAAGAGTCCATCTGTCATGGACCATGTCTGTCACATGGCGGTACTGCTCTAAAAATGCTTTAGCCAAATCTTTCCAAGATCTAATGTTGGCTTTGGTCAATTGAGTATACCATTTTAAAGCCGGTCCTGTCAAACTATCTTGGAAGCAGTGAATTAACAATTTTTCGTCCTTCACATATCCTGCCATTCTTCGACAAAACATAGTAATGTGGGATGAAGGGCATGTAGTACCGTTATATTTATCAAATTCGGGAGCTTTGAACTTGATAGGGAGGATTAGGTCTGGAACCAAACTCAACTCACTAGCATCAAATCCATAGAATGATTCAGTTATTTCCACGGATTTCATTCGCTCTTCTAAGCTCTTGATCTGTCTGGTCAGTTCTTCATTTACTTTTTGTTTCTCATTTAGCTCATTCAAATCTGGGATCAACTGATCAATATTAAGATCCACTACTTTCACATCTGATATAAGCGGATTTTTGCTTGAAGATGCGGGATCCACTTGTTGATCTTCATGTGGTTTAGCTTCTTGTAATGCAGATGTACGAGCATTGATTTGTATAGGGGTAGTACCAGAGTGATAAATTGGTTCTGGTGAAAAACCTAGAGGATATATGGGTTCTTGGTCGAAAGATACAGGATTTTCATGCATTTTTCCACTGATAGCCTGCCTTTTAAACATGTCCTCTATCTTCTTCATCATACTGTCTTGTGAATTTGCAATACTGGCTTCAATTTTTTCCAACTTCATTCTCATTTCTTCTTGTTCTTTATGATGCTGTTCCTCAATACACTGTATTTTATCCTCCATAATTCTCTTAGTAGCTTGTCTAGTACTGTAGTGATGTAGTATTTCTCTTTTGGCCAGAGTAACTGCGATTGAAAAATCTTTTAATATTATTTTTTCAAATTTTAATTGATGAATTTTAACTTAATGAATAAAATAATTCATAGTGAAAATTATGAAATGAATGATGAATGTATGCAAAATGCATGTATGTAAAAAACATTGATCCCAAAAAGTTAACTGTCATAGAACAACTTCCATCGGCATACAAAAGTTTCTTTATAATATTTCAGAACTACAGATAAGGCATAGCTTTCCTATTAAGCTCTATAACTTCTTTCATTAACCATGAAACCTTCTTTCCACACTTAGAAACTGGATCAACTTGATGCTCAATTATTTTGGCTTCAACAGCTAGTTCCCCAACATATCTGGCAACCTCGCTCATTTGTACCATGGCCTCGAACACCATATTGCTTCTTTCTTCACTTCTTTCGACATAGAACTCAGTTGACTTTTGCCATTGTTCAGTTGTTCCTTCAAGAGTTTGCTCTAACTCAGTGATTCTGACTTGGCCATTGTGCAGAATTTTTTCAAGATCTCTAATGTGTCTTCGCAGTGAAGCATTTTCCTCATTACTTTCTTTGAGATCATTAGGTCCTAGACGAACCTTTTCTTGAAACAATGATTCTTCAAGTTGCAAAATGTAAGAATTAAACTCTGAGTTTTTGTTTCTAGACTGATCCAGATCCTCTTCAAATTTTGTTTGTGCTTCTTGCGTTCTTTGATTAAGCTTCTGGATTTGAACATCTTTGTTTCTGCATCTTTGCATCCAATTGCTAGCCACCTCCTGCTCTACCTCAAGTCTGGTATTGAAATTTTTTTCTTTCTAACTCCCATTTTTCTTTTTTAACATTGGATTCTTCCATCTTTTGGCCTCTGACTTCAAGCTCAGCAATCAACTGGTTCATTTCAGATTCAAATCCCTTGAACATGATACTTTTCTCGCTTTCAAATTTAACAAAGATGTCATTCTTCATCTCTTCTAAATCTTTGGCTCGATCTCTTTCTCTTTGCATTTCATTCATGATCTCACGGTGTTCAGCCTTGTGTTTTATAATTCGCTCTCTTCTGTCAACCTCGAAATCTTCCATTTTTTGCTTTCCTTTTTCCAGGCTTTTGAGTAGACGGCTATTCTTTCCTTTCAGATCTTCAACTCGTCTTTTCTCAATGTTCAATTCTCTAGTCATCTGTACCGTCGATTGGCTGGGTCCTGATGCTTTTCGGGATTTATATAACTCCTGGTAATTTTTCTGTAAGGCTCTGTACTCATCTTCACCTTTTTCTTTATCTTTTCTCAACATTGTACATTGTGATGAATGAAAGTCAATGTCAACCCCTAACATAGCTTTATCTTGTCTCATTTGCTCTAACTCTTTCGACCAGCCATCTCTTTCTGCTTCAAACTCAGCTCTCAAGATTTCAATCTCTGATGGAACCACCTTAATGCGATCTTCCATAGAAATATCCTCATTTTGATCTGGTAGAGGAATATTTTCGTTTTTTCTGACAGATCTCCAATCTTCATAATCAGGAGTTAGCATTTCTTTTGCTGCTTTAGCTCGAATACAAAAAGTTGTTTTCCAAGCTGTAACGGCTTCCATGATGTTTTTTTTATAATTTTTGCTGTGGAATGCAAACTCAGATGACTGTAGTCCAGCAGTGACAGGTACAAATTGACGACCTTCATACTGTCTTATAACCAGCAGTGGTGCATATCCAATTCCTCCCCATAATCCGAGCAGCATTATCCAGTTGTAATCACCACACCTGTAAAAGAATTCCCTTTGGATTTGCCACGGGGCGCGCCAAACAACGTCATTGCTTTGCAGATTTCGAAAGGCATTAATCCACATATCTTTCTTAATTTCTTTCGGCCATTCCTGCTCTAGAAATTCTTTTAATGGTGAATAATCCGTATTAAAGCGTCGGTATGAAACCTTTTCTGTTCTCCAGAAATGACTACGGATCCAAACATATAACAACTGGGTACACCCTGAGAATCGTCCACCTCCTAGCCTTCTACAAGCATTTAACGATCTGAAGGTCTCTGCTAGGATGGCAGAAACAGGATTAATCTTCTTCGGTAGCTGTTCAAACAAGTCTACCACTGCAGCTTCAACATATCCCAATACTTTTGGGAAGATGACCATACCATATATACCCAGAGCAAATAGATCGAATCGTACTTTAGCGTCTGGATGACTCTGAATAAGCTCTCTGATGTTGGTCCAAGCAATGCCTTCGCTTTCGCCTTTTTGTTTGGTACGGGATGCTACCCATTCTTCTCGTACCCCAGCAATCTTTGCTAATTTAACTCGAAAGGGTTGAGTTTTAATTGACTTTGAATATATTCGATTCTCCAAAGCACCTTCAAGATGTAACAAAGTTGTATATTCTTCAATAGTAGGGACCAAGTCCTCCTTATTGAAAGTGAAGCAATTGTACCCTGGATTCCAGAATTGAATTAGGGCTCTGAGTAATTCATCATCAACTTCTACATAGAGCAGATATGGAATGTCTCCGTAAGTCTGATAAAACTGCAATTTTTTGTTTGAATCCCAACTTTCCCAAATGCTTCGCAAATCTTGCATATCATTTCTTTTTAATGAAACTGGAGCATAACTGGCCAAGTCAGATACATAATCATCCTGCAGACTGTCTCCTTCTTGTCTTTGTAAATCTTCAGCCCACTGTCTTACTTCTGAGTTTAGAATTACTTGACTTGAACACTTTTTATCCATAGATGAAGGCTTTCCAATGAGACAATTAACACAATGATCAATGTCTTTTATCCTGTATGATGCAATGCAAACAGAAAAATAAAGAACACACAAAAAGAAAATAAATTAGTTTACATAATAAAGAAATTTAATAATAACATTTACATAAATATTCTTTATTTAAACATGCTTTTCTGAATTTAAATAATTTAAATAAACATGTAATTTAAACAATAAATAAATTAACAGAAAAGACAAAATTCATTTCTCCTGTGTGTACACCTATTTCGGCATGACTTCGGATTGGAAGAGTTTCTAAGGTTTTTTTATATGCAAGGTTTCAGATCTAGGAGTAAAAGGTACCTGAATTGTCCTTGTTAGTGCCCCCTTGGGTTGCTAACCCTCAATCCTAGTCCATTACAGACTAAATTGGATCGAGTTCAATTCGAGGGGATACATTTTTCTATGCCTGACACGGAGAATAAATTCTCACGAAGACATAGAGCATATGAACCCCGAAAGTTACTTGCTAGGTCTGACACGGAGAATAAATTCTCACGAAGACGTCGCTTTCACTTCCACTTAAAAGGGACAACTCAATTATAGAGCTTTATGTAATGCAATGCAAGTGTTGTGTGTGAGGAGAAATATTCAAACCTTTGACATAAAAATAAATACTGAAATAAAATACTTGCAAATAAAATAAAACATATAAATATTATAAAAATAATAAATAAATAAAAACTTTGAAAAGAAAGAATTAAAAATTAAATATATGAATTTTTAATTTTTAATTAATAGAGACAAATTATAATTGATTTTTTTTAAAAGTTTGACCGGTCCCCAGCGGAGTCGCCAAGCTGTCGTAACCGGTTTTCGTCCGGGCACGAAATATTTATTTTGGCGGGGAAATTGATGTGAATAAATAGTTTTGAAAATAATTTGGGAGTCGCCATCGGCCTTTTGGATCAGGTAGGTCGAATACCTAAAAATTATTTTTTTAAAAGAGTTTTAAAGAAAACACTAATAAAAAAATGAACTGATCTGCGTTTATAACCAAAAATTAGTTCTTTTTAATAATAAAAAGGGATTCGTGGTCGGTTACGTTTAGGGAAGGATTAGCACCCCTACAACGCCCAAAATTGGTACTTTTTAATTATAAATTGTCTCTATTATTAAAATTTAAAAAAAATTCAAAAATATATTTAATTTATAATCCTATTATTTTCAAAATTATATTTATTTAAAAATATCCGAAAAGAACTTCTAGGTGCCTTAAGACAGTTCTTTTCTTTGATATTGATAAATATTAATTTAAATAATATTATTTAATTTTTAATTTTAAAATATCAGAATAGGACATCCAGTTGTATTAAGACTGTCCTTTTCTTCGATATTAAAAATAAATATTTAAAAGTTATTATTTATTATATATATTTATGAATATATATCAAAATATTTAACAAGATAATAAAAGAAAAATTCTATTAAAACAATATATTTAAAAACAATAAAATAAATTAAAACATATAAAATAAATGACTAAATTTCAGTAAAAATAAAATTAAAAATTTAATTCATAATTAATCAAAACTATAGGGATTAAATAGGTTATTTTTTTATTTTATTTATTTAGTGATTAAAATAAAATTATCTAAAATTCAGATATTAGATTCAAATAAATTAAAAATATAAACTAGGGATTTAAAAAATATTTTATTAAAATTAAGGGATTAAATCTGTCATTTATCCTAAATATATTATTTTAATAAAAGGGACTAAAATGAATAAAATTAAAATTCAAAGACTGAATTAAAATTATTATAAATTCAGTTTAGTGATCAAAATAAAACATTTACAAGTTAGGAGGACTACGGAAGGGATTTAACTATTTCATAATTACGCGCATAGTCCTTCCCGAAACGACGTCGTTCGGGAAGGACTATAAATGGTCCAAACCGGCTGGCCCGAAGGGCCAGCCATTTCATTTCATCTTTTTTTTTTCTTTAAGCAGAAAGAGAGAGAGAGAGAGAGAATTCTCTCTGGCCTCTCTCTAGATTCCCTCACCGGAGGGAATCCGGCAGCCGTCTGCCGCCGCGAGTGTCCCCGCCGGCCACCGTATCCGGTGGTCGGAAAATTTATTTTTATACTATTGGATAGATCGGACCGTCCTAAGGACGGTTCCGATGTTCTTTTTCCTTAAATGGCTCCCAATCGGAGCAGATCTATAAATATACCTTCGGTATTTTCGGTTCTCCGGCGATGTTCAGTGTTTCCGGCGACGGTCAAGGCTTCCTTGGTAAGCTTCTCTCTTCTCTTTTTCCTTCTGTTTTTTGTTTTTGCTCTGTTGGGATCGTTGGTAGTTTTATATCTCTCTCTATTTTCCTTCCTTTTTTTTCTTTTTGGTTCTGTCTCTGTCCCTGGCTTCTGTCTCTTTTTTTTTTTCGCAGATGGAAAGCCACCACCGGTGTTCGTCTCAGACCGGTCCGAAGAGGGGGCCTCGGTGAGTCACCGGACTACCAGTGGTGACTCACCGAGTAGCCATGGCGTGGACTGCTGGTAATCTGTCTTCTGGAGTCTTCGGTTGGGACGTGGCAGCGGCGGAGGCGGCGAGATAGCAACGGCGGCCGCGTGTCCATAGGGTATCAGACCCTAGGGTTTCCATCTGGGACAATCTGGTCCGTTGGATCTTGCCAGATCCAACGGCTGTGAGCTGAGGCGGCTGGGTAAATTAGGGTTAGGAAACCCTAACTGGAAACCCAAATATTTAGGGTTTCTGGTTGGTTTCGGACCGGCTCTGGTTGGTTTGTAACTGGGCCGGTCCAATTGTAATTGGGCCTGTAATTATATTTTTTTTATTATTTATTTATTTTTAATAATATTTATATGTATTTAATATATTTAATAATAATAGTAATAATAATAATAATAATAATAATAATAATAATGATAATAGGAATAATAATAATAATAATAATAATAATAATAATATTAATAATAATAATATGGATAAAAAAATTAGTATCTTCATTTACAAAATGAGCTAAAAAGCCAGTGTGCTCCTTACGGTGTATAAAATTAACATATAAAATACTTCAGTAAAAATCAGTTCATCATGCATGTTTTAAAAATATGGACACAACCGACATCCGATAACCAGAATGTATAGGTTCCCTAGAACCATACACCCACTTGTACACCTGGTAGGGCCCTTATACATATAGAATAAGGACTTGCGGTAAGGACTTACCCTGAGCACAAAGCAGAGGAGCATGCGGTAAGGTCTTACAAGTCATGGACTAGGCCTGAGATACTTCCTCCAATAATACCCCCAATGACAATAATAAATATGTATGTATTCGAGTGAAAATGGTAGTTTAATCTATTAAAACATGAAAATATTACATACTCATAAATCAAATACAGAAATACAGTAATCAAAGATCATATAAAATAATATAAAATAAATCAGAT